CAACCTCAGAAAGTCTTCAAAGAACACCGTGTTAGCTTCGAAGTCACTAAACCAGCATCCTGAATCTTTCTCCACTTTTACCGTCTAGGCTTTCAACAAAGAACTCTTTACCTCCTGCAAAGGATCTTGTTTCTCTCACATTAGAAGAGCAAATGGTGTGCAGTGTATGCACGTCACTTCTTTTTAAATTTTGTAGTCGTTACTCATGCGTCTGCATACTAGCAAATGAAAAGCTCCCTATTAACGATGTTGGATAACGACTTCTGGGAGGGAGGGGGGGGGGGGGACTGATAGCCTCTAACTGGAGACATGGGCAGACATCATATTACAAAAAGCCCGGAAAAATTTTTCCGGCGTATCTCTGTACATAGGGGTATTTGATGGTCCTGATCACGGTTCTGATATTATTTTTGGCGCGGAGGCCATCTGGGGCCAGTATGGCGCTAAATAGGCCCGCCGCGCAGGGTGGCAGTGATGTTAGTACGAGAGAGCCTTTGCACCAAATTGGCGACATATTGCGTCATATTCGAAAATGAGTGTCATATTCGTGATCAGGGCATCGGATAACCGCCGCAACCCAAGTTTCAGGATTTACAACATAGTTCATTAATCTCAGTTACAATGATTTTATTCAGGAGAGTTTTTCGATAGTATTTCGCGAGCGTAATAGTTGCGTGAGACCCCATTGTGAACCATTACCTCACAGAATGTGCCCTTAAATGGCGTATATCCGGGTCATACACATTATGGGGCACACAGGAATACAAGATCTGAAAAATGCAAAAAAATGTCGTCAAGAGGATCCGATCCACAAACGTATCGATTGAGAGTCCATCGCGTTATCCACCACACCACCGGCCACTGCGAGCGATGAGATGCAGGACCTATTGAAGAGATATGCGCAGATGACTATGAAACCCCTATGTAGCTCACCACAATTCAAGTGAAGTACTTGAATTTTGACCTTATTTTGCGTTGTTTTTCATGCCTGCTCAAAGAATACCTCACATACTATACGCTGTCAACGCTACAGCTAGAACGGAGGCGAATAAGGTGGCTTAAATGGCCCATTCTTTTCGAATTATATTTGACCTTTTTTGCATTCCCAATAGCGTTTAGCAAAAATGAACCCCATCTGTGTGGTCCTTGCATGGACCCCTATCATGCAACAAACCGTTTTTGAAAAGCTCACCACGACCTCCCTTGTTCGCGGGCTCGAAGACCCTTTCAGATTGAGGAAACGCTGTACCCCACATTCGATGGTCTTGATCCTTGCCATGTGCGAGCTGTGGCAAGGCAAGATTTGCAGTTGTGGAAGTGGGCCACAACTGCAAATCCGTTCTTCTCCACGCCTTTTGTCATTCAAAGCAGTGCCGAAGTAAGCCTGCAGGGTAATGATGGCCAGACGCAGTTTCGTGCGTGTGACAGCCAGACCCGCAGGCAAACCAGCAGACGCAACGGGTCGCACGACCAGGCACACCTCTGATTATAGCCAAGCATACTTGTCAGCCCTCCCAATTTAGTTGCTCTCCACACTCGACCACTAGCCTCAGCATCGGGACACAGGCTGTACTTTGCGGATAGCGGGCGGAGTCCGAAACGGCATTCAGCTTTCACAACCCATCTTCTACAGCTACGGTCTTGTCCACCTCGCACACTACAACGGCCATCTTCTGGTTAGGCGTACAGCGTACCTTTTAAAAATCACTTAATTTTCACGGACAGTCAGCTGTAACCCCCAGTACTACCCACTGTTGCACGTCCCACTTGAGCAATGGCGTCTGGTTTTTATGCGGAGAAAGCTTTCCATGACTATAGCAAAGAAACTTGTAACAAAAGTTCCCTCATAAGTTTTTAGGCGCGCTCAGCCCACTTTATCATGCGCCTCTCCACAACGTCTCCTCAATAATATTTTCGAATGGGGCATTCACTTGGGAAACATAACAGAGCATGGAGTTCCTGATGTTTTGCTTCGAAAAATGACAGCCGCCATTAGAGATAGAGAAGGCAGAAGAGAAATAAAGATAGTCACGCTCTACTGAAACGTGAGTTCAGTATGATTGCTGAACAGTTACAGCTGGCTGCACATAACGATTCGCGGAAATTTTAGCAATCAACACCATTTCCTTTGGATAAATTAATCAAGGGGTGGTAAAAAAAATACGAATACAGCAGCTCATTCCCACTAAAAACAGCATCGACAGAGAGCAGGGAAAACACTGACCTGCACATCCGGGAGAACATCGGGGGATACCATCTTTAAAGCATCAAGAGCATTGAAATTTATGGAACTCCCTGCAATGATGGCAAATTTTACCTAAAGAATCATACGTGAAAACTTACTCCCACAGTGTTTAACCAGAAAGCAGATTCTGAAGCCAGCTCTTTTCAAGCCCTCCAGCATAACACTGTCTTTTCGTGGCTTTGATTGGTAGAGTAGGACTGCGTTCATACTTTGCTCATCATGCTCGTCTTGAGCGTGTCAGCGTTTTGAGCATATCAGGCGTTACAGCAACTAAGGAAATATACACGGGTATCGATCCAGCGCTTCAGGGGTGCATCCGCGTTTTGAGCGTCCGCCAGCGTTCTGAGCGATTTTAAGCGTCAACGTTTCGAGCGTTCAGCAGCATTTTCAGCGACAATCGATCTGTACATTTTCAGCCGCTAAAAAAGGCTGTCAGGCGCTTAAAACACCGCAAAGTTCGAATGCATTCCAACAGACTGGTCTTACTTCTAATTATCAGTAAAACATAAGATCATTCAGTCTTAAAAGTAACTGAATTGAGGGAATCACATAAAGAACACAGCGTAAGCTTGCGGACGAGAATGTAAATACTAACAACGAACCGGCAAACTTTGTAAACTCGATAGTAAGAGTGTTATTTGGAAACACCATTTCAGGGAGTTCTGGCAAACGCAACGAGCTCTCGAAACGACACCTCTGAAAAAATCCCTCTCATCGGTGACTGGAGTCACCCAGAATCTTCAAGGTATCCATCAGAAAACTTACAGAACATTGTGCATCACCTGCTTCGTCATGCGCACATTGAGATTCCAAAATATGATCCCAAACAGCAACAAAATGGAAGCCACCTCTACTGAATTCATCCTGCATTCAAGATTAAGACTTTTAGAAGAGAAGGTATGATCAAGAATGGAAACACCAACTTGTTTCCGTGCACTTTTCCTGGCATGTGCCAAGATTTCCGAGGCGCTACGAACTTGTTCCCTCATTAGTCTAAAAGGCATTATTTACCGTAGAACTGTCTCATATGAACTCTAACGAGCACGATGAGTCGGAAACCTTAACAAAAAGGACCGAGAA